ACTCTTAGACAATATAAAGGAGTAGAGATAATACCATGCATCCTATCTGATCATAATGGAATGGAACTGAAAATCAATGATAAAAGAAGGAAGGGAAAAGCATACATCACTTGGAGAATGAACAATAGGTTACTGAATGATCAATGGGTTATAGAAGACATCAAGGAAGAAATTAAAAAATTCTTAGAGATTAATGAAAACACAGACACAACATATCGGAATCTATGGGACACATTGAAAGCAGTTCTAAGAGGAAAATTCATTGCTTGGAGTTCATTCCTTAAAAAAAGAAAAAACCAACAAATAAATGATCTCATACTTCATCTCAAAATCCTAGAAAAAGAAGAGCAAAACAACAGCAAAAGAAGTAGAAGGCAAGAAATAATTAAAATCAGAGCTGAAATTAATGAAATTGGAACAAAAGAAACAATTGAAAAAATTGACAAAACTAAAAGTTGGTTCTTTAAAAAAATAAACAAAATCGACAGACCCTTAGCCATGCTAGCGAAGAGAAGAAGAGAGAGAACTCAAATTACTAACATAAGGGATGAAAGAGGCAATATCACAACAGACACTTCAGAAATACAGAAGATAATCAAAAATTATTTTGAATCCTTATACTCCAATAAATTAGAAGATAGTGAAGGCATAGATAAATTTCTTAAGTCATATGATCTGCCCAGATTGAGTCAGGAGGATATAGACAACCTAAACAGACCAATATCAATTGAGGAAATAGAAGAAACCATCAAAAGACTACCAATTAAGAAAAGCCCAGGACCGGATGGGTATACAGCAGAGTTTTACAAAACCTTTAAAGAGGAACTAATACCAATACTTTTCAAGCTACTTCGGGAAATAGAAAAAGAGGGAGAACTTCCAAATTCATTCTACGAGGCCAAAATCACCCTGATACCTAAACCAGACAAAGACACTTCAAAGAAAGAAAACTACAGACCAATATCTCTAATGAACCTAGATGCAAAAATCCTCAATAAAATTCTGGCCACTCGGATACAAAAACTTATCAAAAAAATTGTGCACCATGATCAAGTAGGATTCATCCCTGGGATGCAAGGCTGGTTCAATATACGGAAATCAATAAATGTTATTCACCACATCAATAGACTTAAAAATAAGAATCATATGATCATCTCGATAGATGCGGAAAAAGCATTTGACAAAGTACAGCATCCCTTTATGTTCAAAACTCTAGAAAAACTAGGGATAACAGGAACATACCTCAATATTGTAAAAGCAATCTATGCTAAGCCTCAGGCTAGCATCATTCTGAATGGAGAAAAATTGAAGGCATTCCCTCTAAAATCTGGAACAAGACAGGGATGCCCTCTCTCACCACTTCTGTTCAACATAGTTCTCGAAACACTGGCCAGAGCAATTAGACAGACGAAAGAAATTAAAGGCATCAAAATAGGAAAAGAAGAACTTAAATTATCACTATTTGCAGATGACATGATTCTATACCTAGCAGACCCAAAAGGCTCTACAAAGAAACTATTAGAGCTAATAAATGAATTCAGCAAAGTGGCAGGATATAAAATCAACACGCATAAATCAAAGGCATTCCTGTATATCAGCGACAAATCCTCTGAAATGGAAATGAGGACAACCACTCCATTCAAAATATCTTCAAAAAAAATAAAATACTTGGGAATCAACCTAACAAAAGAGGTGAAAGACTTATACAATGAAAACTACAGAACCCTAAAGAGAGAAATAGAAGAAGATCTTAGAAGATGGAAAAATATACCCTGTTCATGGATAGGCAGAACTAACATCATCAAAATGGCGATATTACCAAAAGTTCTCTATAGGTTTAATGCAATGCCAATCAAAATCCCAACGGCATTTCTTGTAGAAATAGAGAAAGCAATCATGAAATTCATATGGAAAAACAAAAGACCCAGAATAGCAAAAACAATGCTAAGCAGGAAGTGTGAATCAGGCGGTATAGCGATACCAGACTTCAAACTATACTACAGAGCAATAGTAACAAAAACAGCATGGTACTGGTACCAAAACAGGCGGGTGGACCAATGGTACAGAGTAGAGGACACAGAAACCAATCCACAAAACTACAACTACCTTATATATGATAAAGGGGCTAAAAGCATGCAATGGAGGAAGGATAGCATCTTCAACAAATGGTGCTGGGAAAACTGGAAATCCATATGCAACAAAATGAAACTGAATCCCTTTCTCTCGCCATGCACAAAAGTTAATTCAAAATGGATCAAGGAGCTTGATATCAAATCAGAGACACGCCGTCTGATAGAAGAAAAAGTTGGCTACGATCTACATACTGTGGGGTCGGGCTCCAAATTCCTCAATAGGACACCCATAGCACAAAAGTTAATAACTAGAATCAACAAATGGGACTTACTCAAACTAAAAAGTTTTTTCTCAGCAAAAGATACAATAAGAGAGGTAAATAGAGAGCCTACATCCTGGGAACAAATCTTTATTCCTCACACTTCAGATAGAGCCCTAATATCCAGAGTATACAAAGAACTCAAAAAATTAGACAATAAGAGAACAAACAACCCAATCAACAAATGGGCCAAGGACCTGAACAGACACTTCTCAGAGGAGGACATACAGTCAATCAACAAGTACATGAAAAAATGCTCACCATCTCTAGCAGTCAGAGAAATGCAAATCAAAACCACCCTAAGATACCATCTCACTCCAGTTAGATTGGCAGCCATTATGAAGTCAAACAACAACAAGTGCTGGCGAGGATGTGGGGAAAAGGGTACACTTGTACATTGCTGGTGGGACTGCAAATTGGTGCAGCCAATTTGGAAAGCAGTATGGAGATTTCTTGGAAAGCTGGGAATGGAGCCACCATTTGACCCAGCTATTCCCCTTCTCGGTCTATTCCCTAAAGACCTAAAAAGAGCATGCTACAGGGACACTGCTACATCGATGTTCATAGCAGCACAATTCACAATAGCTAGACTGTGGAACCAACCTAGATGCCCTTCAATGGATGAATGGATAAAAAAAATGTGGCATTTATACACAATGGAGTATTACTCTGCATTAAAAAATGACAAAATCATAGAATTTGCAATGAAATGGATGGCATTAGAGCAGATTATGCTAAGTGAAGCTAGCCAATCCCTAAAAAACAAATGCCAAATGTCATCTTTGATATAAGGAGAGTAACTAAGAACAGAGTAGGGTCGAAGAGCATGAGAAGAAGATTAACATTAAACAGGGATGAGAGGTGGGAGGGAAAGGGAGAGAGAAGGGAAAATGCATGGAAATGGAAGGAGACCCTCAGAGTTATACAAAAGTACATACAAGAGGAAGTGAGGGGAAGGGGAAAAATAATATAAGGGGGACAAACGAATGTCAGTAGAGGGAGCAGAGAGAGAAGAGGGGAGGGGAGGGGAGGGGGGATAGTAGAGGATAGGAAAGGCAGCAGAATACAACAGACACTAGTATGGCAATATGTAAATCAATGGATGTGTAACTGATGTGATTCTGCAATCTGTATATGGGGTAAAAATGGGAGCTCATATCCCACTTGAATCAAATTGTGAAATATGATATATCAAGAACTATGTAATGTTTTGAACAGCCAACAATAAAAAATTAAAAAAATAAAATAAATAAAATAAAATAGTACATATGTATTTTTTTCTTTTCCTAGAGATATCTTGGTTATTTAAGACAGTTTGAAATCAATATATTTAAATACCATTTCATTATATTAAAGTAAAATGATGTCATTAAATGTTTTCATATCCATGTTCAATGCTACTTTTCTAATTAGTTTACAGTGCTTTCCAGTTTACGTTATATTTAGTATGTAGGAAAGTTTTTGTTCCTACTCAAATTGTAAAACTAAAACCTGAACTTTGATTATGAAAACTGAAAAAAACGTTTGCAATGCAGCATGATGTTAAAGACAGGAATCTAATAATCTCCCTAACTGAAATGCACAGATTAAAAACGTGTCTATGGACAGTACAGGATTGAAAATCTTCATAGTTAAAGAAAGATGAATATGTTTTGCATACAATGTCTGACAGTTCAGTAACTTGAAAATATAATCTCCTAGTAAAACAAAATAACATTAGATTAGGAAAACCCTACTTCTAAATTAATATCTGCACTTTAGCATCTGTATAGGCTAAGTATAAGTTCCCATATTTTGAACACTAGAGGGAGTGTATAAAAGAACAAACCAAAGCCAAACATAGATATCACCTCCTTTCTCAGAGTTTTGTACAACGTTCCGTCTCACCAAAGTGATTGCTTATTTCTTCTATCTTTTTTTTCAATTTAAACAATATTCCATATCCCCTTTATATGCTATTTTCCAGTTAATACAAAATTTGAAAAGACTAGTGGCAATGAAGACACACATTATGTAAGCCAAAAAAAAGGAAATGCTGTAAAATATGATATACTCTTTCTTCACTTTAGTTTATATATTCTATGAGAAGAAAACATATCTGATTTAAAAGATATCATTCTAAGTGTTTCAAATAGTTTGCCATCCCTGTGCCTAAAAGATAAAATGGTTACTCTCAAATAAGAACCAGCCTTTTTCTGATGGTGAAAACCTGAGAACCCAGGCCAAATTCAGTTTATGTAGAAAAACCATCTCCAGAATTTCCATATAGGAGGGACAACTTGGAAGCACTTGATAGGAAATTAAAAGGGTGAAGAGTTGATGAGTTGATACTTTTTAAAACTCAGAACTTTGTCTGACACATAGTAAGTATTCACTATATTATCTCTTGCTTAAAGATCCTTTGGTTATTTCAAAAGATAATATTATAAGCAACTCAGTGAGACCCTGTCTCTAAATAAAATACAAAATAGGGCTGGGGATATGGTTCAGTGGATGAGTGTCCCTGGTTTCAATCCCCAGTATCAAATATATATATATATATATATATATATATATATATATATACCTATTCTGTAAAACTCAACTCTATATATGGTTGAGTTTTACAGAATAGGTATATCAAGAGTAATACATTATGCCATCAAAGGCGGGTTAACACAAGCTCCCTCCAGCCAACGCACACATCCCTCCAATATGTAATAGACAAGAGCCCACATGAAATGCATTTAATAAATATCTATTATATGATAATTCTGTGCAAATTGTGACTATCCGATGGAAAGTAAAAGGTGATAGCTTTGATCTTAAGATATTTTAGAGCATAAGTTTTGAGTTGGAAAAGATCCAGTTATTTATTAGTTTCACTTAATGAGCATCCACTGCATGTAAGCCACTGTTCTACAAACTTTGGATACACAAAGAAACAAAACAGAGGACATCAACATCTAGGAGATGGCATTCTAGAAGTGGGAAACGAACAATAATTCATATGTGAAATAAGTTGTTCAGTGTGTCAAAAGCTGATTAGTACTAAGAAAAGAGAAAATGTAAAACAAGAGCTATAATTACATACATTGTTACCAGAATAGGCCTCAGTGAGGTGACCATTGAGCAAAATTTGAATGAGGTTAAAGAGTTATCTCAAGAGCATCTTAGGCATGAAAATGCACATAGCACATTTATTCATAAAGCTGCAAGATTACCATTCGGAACACTGGAGATCCGAATCCAGTTTTGGATACTGTGAGGTGAAGATGCCTCTTAGGCGTCCGAGTAGAGATAAAGAATAAAATATTGGCTATACAAGTTCAGATAAAACGTCTGGGCTGAATATACAGATTTCAGAGTCATAGACTTAGTGGTGGAATTTATACACAAGACCAAATAAAAGGACCAAGAAAACAAGTGTAATTAAAAAAAAAAAGATTTAAAAAATTGGGATAAGATATCCCAGAGGAAGAGTAAGTAAAGACATCAGAGAAAGAAAAATCAGTGAGGTGAGATAGTCTGCAAATTCTTCAAGACAAGTGAAGAAAGATTAATAAAAAAGACTATCAAGTGCTACCAATAGGTGACTTAATATTAGAAGTGAGAACCATTTAATTAAATAACAGAGCCATTGACAACCTAGTAGAGGCAGTTTTGGTATAGTGTTGAGAGTACAGACCTGACTGGAGTGGATTTAGGAAAGAACAGGTGATAACAAGTATATATAATTTCAATTTTTTTGTAAAGGGGAATTAAAAGTATAATGATAATTTTTAGGAGAAGTGGATTCCCTAAAATTTATTTATTTTAGGGGATTTATTATTATCTTTTTCCCTATTTGTATGCTGATAGGAATCATCTATGGAAAGTAAAATATGATGGTATATGAAAGAGAGGAGAAAAAAATTTTTTTTGTACCAGGGATTAAATCCTGCAGGACTTACCCACTAAACCACATCCCCAGCTCTTTTTGTTGTTGTTGTTGTTGTTGTGAAAGGGTCTCACTAAATTGTGTAGGGCCTTACTAATCTGCTGAGGCTGTCTTTGAACTTGAATCCTCCTGTCTCAGCCTCCCAAGCCACTGGGATTACATGCTTGTGCCACACACCTAGAAAGAGAGGAGAATCCTTAATGTTGTTTCCCAGTAGATTAGAAAGAACAGTCTCTCACATACAAGTGGAGTGATTGGTTTCAGCCCCAATCCCCTTAATAAGTATTACTTGGAATTAGATACTGAAGTTCCCATTCCTAATCAGATAATGAAAATGAGACTTAAAATATTGAATTGAAGGTTACATGGTTTGTAACAAGCAGTGAAAAGTTAACAGGCTTTTAAAAAGAAAATGCCCAGAGAACAACTGTGAAGTCAGATAAGCAAATATGAGACAGAGACATAGTGACAATAAACATGGGGAGTATAGATACTAAGTTGGATAAAAAGATGTGATGTAGATTGCCTGTGATGGTCCCTGTGCTCCTCACTGAAGGGAAGACACAGAAAAAGTCAAACAGGTTGGAAGGTTAGATTTGAACATGTGACTTTTCAGGGGGTTACTTTTTTTTTTTTTTAAGGAATGGTACAAATTAATAAACTTAAGTGGTATTTTGGTAAAATTTGTAGAAAAGGCAAAGGTAACCCCAACCTGCATGTGCTGCCTTGGGGCCAGAGAAGTCTGCAGATGGCTATGGGAAAGTCTTCCTGAGGCTTAGCTCCCATTATCACTGTCTCCCAGAGTGTGCTTGTCTGAAAGATAGTCTTCAAGTTTGTTATGCAGTTCCCCAGTTCTCTGATATATTTCACTTGTTCATTTAAGTAATGAACCTCACTGAAGTCATACAAGGGAGGAAGGCCATTTTTGTCTATGGCCAGTTTTACAGTTCCAGTACTTCATGTAGTTTGATTGTTTTTCCCAAGTGTTGGGCCCACACATTGCATTCAGCTCCCTTGCCAAACATCACAGTCTGATTTCTTGACATCCTGAAGAAGATTCAGTCACTTGGTTGGTTCTACAGTTTCATTGATTTCTCCAGTGTTCCCCTTCTTCATGTAACTGGTGAAGAAAGTATTTGAGAGAGTTCTTCAAAGCCATTCCATGAGGTAGAAGTAGTAAGCAGGGAGACACAAGAGGCACAGAGCTCCAGGTTAACTGGCCTTGTAGGGCCACAGGAGTGAGCTGGGCGGGGCCTGGGCGACTCAGCAGTGCACTGAGAGGAGCTGCAAAGGGCTGATGCAGGGATGCCAGCCAGCGCTGGGCTCTGTCCAAGCACTGGTGAAGCAGGAAATTGCTGCGACTCTGCAAAAAACCGTCTGTGGCCACTTGACATTTTAGGTAATAGGACAGTGAGTGATCTTTTAAATAGGGGAGTGGCCTGAAGAAAACAGTGATTAAGATTTAGCTGGCAGTGTTGGGGATGAATTGACTAGGGGGAAGCAGAAAGATTAGTGCTAGGTCTATTAAACCATCATCCATGAAATTAATAGCATAGGTATTAGAGAGAGAGTGGTGAGAAAAAGAAGGCAGCCAGTCTGAAATCTCCTGCTTAGCAATGATGTAATGCATTTGTTGCATCTTGAACTTTCCCTTTATAGTCTTGACAGCCTTCACCAAATATAACTTCTATTATTATTTGGATAATAGTTCACTACTGAATTGTGAGTTTCAAGATGACAGGGACCACATATGTTTGGCTCACTGTTTTATCTACATAGTAAGCATCCCAAAAGAAATGTTTGAATAGCAAATTATCTATAAAGGTATATCAAAAAAGTGGATAAGGAAACTGAAGAAAGGAGGAATAAAGGAAAAGAGGAAGGAAAGAGAAAAGAGGGAAGACTAAATAGGGGAAAAAGATAAATGATAGGGGAAATGCAGGAGGAGAAAGAGGAAAAACATCAGGATGAATATGTTGCTGCCAGGAATAGGGGAGCTTGAATGGACAAGATTTAAAGCAGGAAATACAGAATTCAACTCCGTCATTTGTCTTTATGTTGGTTCACTTCTTTGTTTCTGCCATCTTGTATTAAAAATAATTATAGTAACCTCAAAGGGTGACTCTGAGGATTAAGTAAGCTAACTCAGAGCAGCACCTGGTACATCTTGAGCACTGAACAGATGTCAACCATGTATGTTATCATTACCACGTTCACCGTATGTCTTCAATAATGGGTGCTGTGCCATAGAGCAGGGACACCATTATAACATCTCCTGTCTCTACAGCAACAGAGGCAGAAGACACATAAAACTAACTCATGGGTGAGCAAAAAGTCTCCCTTCTAGTAAGAGGTGCCACTGACCTCATTCATTAACTGTCAGTGAAAGGAAATAGCTCATTTTGGGCTGTGCCCATTGTCCAGAGTTCCCATTTTTTTCCCCAAATCCTAAAATTCACACATGTACCTTAATTTTTTTTTTCAGTTAAATCTTTATTTCCTTGTGAAATTTTCAAATCCCTTGAAAATTTTCAGTTTAATTTTTTACTTTATTGTGAAATGGAATATAAGATAGGGGAAGTGATGAATGAAAATAGGAAGGTATATTTTAAAAGTAGCTCGAGTGGTGAAAATAAGTAAATGTAAATAAAGATAATAAATGGTGTTTTTAAAGATAACACAGATAAGATAACAAAAATGTAAAGTCAAAATGCTTGATGAACGAGCCTAAGGAAAGAAAAAGGTACAGAAAGCAAACATTAAGTAACACAGAATATTTAAGAAGAGCTGAGAGTAGTTCTCAACAAGTGACTTCCCTGACTCCAGGGGTCTGCGTTAGTGTCTAGTGATATTTTGAGTTCTTACACTGCCATCTAGTTGGTAGAGACCACTGAGGTGCTAACCACCCTAACAACCTACAGGAAAGCATTCCACAACAAAGATTCAACTTATGCAAAAAGTCAGCATTGATGAGTTTATGAAACATTGACCTAGAGATTAAAGGTTGAAAAATAAAGAATGGAATAGATTAGATCATAGACCAGATCCAGTCACTCCTATGCTCAAGACCCCACAAAGTCTCTACTTTGAGTCAATATCCTGAGAAATGTCCCCCATGCCCATCTGATTCATGTATGTTGGCCTCCTTCTTTTCTGCAGACCCATGGGACACTTGACTACTATGGGTCCTCACACTACTGTTCCCTCTCCTTGGACTTTAAGTACTGCTATAGTTCCAAATGGCACACTTCTTCACCACCAAGTTTTTCCTCCAGTGCTGTCATGTTACTCTCTCAACAAGGATTATTCTGGACCACCCTATTTAAAATTGCTCCTCCTCCCCAACTCTGTTTATTCCATTATCATCTTCTATTATTTCAGAGGTCTTGTCATCTTCTAATATATGGATATGATTTGGCATTTATTACACTGACCTATCTTCATGCCCTCCCCACTGACTGTGTAATTCTCATG